TACAGAGAGATGGAGGGGAGGCACTGAATCAAGTGAAGCTCGTAGAATGGCAGAACGCACAGATGGAGTGGGGACGATAAAATTCCTCGAAAGCACGAGCCAAATGTGTGATGAACTAAAATTAACTGTAGTGTGCTAGGCAGTGTGGGAGTGGAAAGTGACAACAAGCTCTGCTCCCGACAACTTGTGTGACCTTGGCCGACTTCTCGGGGCCTCAGTTTCTGTAGTGAGGCCTGGTTCCAGCTGACGATGTCCTTTCTAAGGTCTAAGACACTCGGCTCTAAGACCTTGTGATGAGGAACGTTCCTTGGCAATTTAATTGCACTTAGTGGAGGTAATGTTGCTGTTGTCTTGGCATGTGACTTACGCAGAGGTTCACCCCAGGGAGGAGGTGAGGAGAGGCCTGAGTTTACGACTGCAGACGCTGAGGTCTCAAGTCTCATTGATGCCGAGGGCCAAGGGCAAATGCACTGACACTCGCCGGCTCGCTCTGACCTGCGGCAGAAAAGCCCCACGGGGGCAGCGCTGTTCCGGTGTCCCGGCCGCGCTGGTCTGTGCCCTGGAGGCGAGGCCTGCTCACTTGGCTGTAGACAGCCTCTCCCGTCCCCATCCTCTCCTCTCACTCACCTCTTTCCGTTTCCCTAGCACCTTCTCCTCCCTTCTGGCTTGTCTCCTTAGCATCTTGTTTCCCATTATCAGCATCTTCACCTGGTTTTCCAGCCGCGCTTTCACATGAGCCTCTGGCATCCTGGAAAAAAAAGATGGAGCTGTGTCCCCTTCCCTTCTAGTTCATCTGGAAATTCAATCAACTTTTCTGTTAGTGTCGGGAATGGTGTGTGTGTGTGTGTGTGTGTGTGTGTGTGTGTGTCAGAGAGAAAGAGAGAAAGAAAGGGAAAGAGACTGTCATGGCTGGTGTGACAGTACTTTACGATTTTGAGATCAAAACCAAACAAACTCAAAAACGGTAGCCCTGGAGACAGGGTTCAGTGCCGGGGAAGCTGCCTTTGGGAGGTCGGGCTTTAGGAAGCCGAGACTGCCTAGCATCTTGTACGTCACGCTTATCACTTTTGCCACGCGAGAGTCAGTCCCCAAGCCTCCTGGCAGGCCTTGCTACCCCGTCCTGAGGGGGTCCGGACATGCCACCCCCGAGCCTGCCGCTTCGGCCCGCTTATCAATCGAAGCTGAAGGCACCTGAGAAGCGGCGACTTCAGGGAGGGCGCTCTGCCCTTCCCTTCTGCACTTACAAGCAGAGCCTGGGCTTCCTGTGAGAAGGGTGTCCCACTCTACCAGGAAGAGGGAAACGTTCTTATCGCTGGAGAAGGGGAGCTGAAACCGAGCTGGGTCTGCACAGAGATGCCTTTCTACTAGAATAACCCTTCTCTCTCGTTTGTTCCCCCATATGCTTCCAAATCACTTTCCCATTAACCCCGTTTTCCTTTGCTATCTCACATCTCTAGTTTTATCACTCTTTGTTAAAAGTGTGTAAACCCCTGGGTCTAACTGATTCTGTGGGTGTCATTCCTTTCTGTGAAGTCACCTGTTCCATGTAAAAATATTAGCCTCAAGTACAATTTGTATGTTCATTCTTCTGTTAGTCAGTCCTTTATCAGTTTAATTCGCAGGTTCCAGGCACAGAACCGAAGAGGGTAGAGGAGATGCCTTTCCTCCTCTCGAGAGCGCACACAGCTGGTTAGGTGGGCAGCACCCCTCCTCAGAACGTCTTCCTGCTCTGCTCTGGAGCGATGCAAACACAGTTGTTTGTTCTATGGACACTGTAGGCAGCTGGCTGAGAACAGGGGTTTGCTGTTTTCTGAAAGCAGCGTATTGCCCTTTTCTGCCTCTAGTGAATCTGCACTGTTGATATGAGGACCACAAACCTCATTAAGCCTCGGTTAACTTAGGGCTAGGACCTTTAGGCTTCTGAACTCCTGAGTGCATGTGATTGATAATGTGAATTATAATCCAGGCAGGTGTTCTGAGAGCCCTGGCCCCAAGAGTGATCTGAAGGTGGGTTGAGGGGCTCTCTGGACGCTCAGGAATGCCTCCAGGCCCGCTGTGGCCAGGAATGCACTTTGGGGATGGCGTGTGTGGGGCTCCCCTGATGACTCAGTAGTAAAAAATCCGTCTGCAGTGCAGAAGACATGGGTTTCGTCCCTGGGTCGGAAGGTCCCCTGGAGGAGGAAATGGCAGCCCACTCCTGTACTTTTGTCTGGGGAGCTCCAGGGACAGAGGAGCCTGGCAGACTACAGCCCCTGGGGTCGCAGAGAGTCAGACACAGCTGAGCAGCTGAACACACTTGTATTCGAGCAGAAGTATACTTTGGGAAAAATCTAAGTGGTGGAGAACTTGGTCATTCATTTCAATCTGTGACTTCAAAGTCACAGAATCTCCAAGCTCTGAAAAAATCTTGTCATTCTGGATGTGCCCATGACAAGTGGTCACATAGCTTCTGGGAATTTAGGAGGAGCTGCTCACGCCTTGGCCTTTGTGCTTGAAGATGTGACCTGGCGAGATGCATGGCCAGGCCAGAGGGCAGCAGGGGTCCCGGGCTTACGCTGGACACGCAGTCCTGTCTGCTCAGCTGAGGCTGCCTGCAAGCATGTGCACGACTCTCTCTGGTTCCATGGACATCGTGGGATTTTTTTTTTCTGGGTCCTCCTCGTGGGTTTTGGAGCTGAAGTCGGTTCTCAAAGCAGATTCCAGATTTTGCTGGTGAGGAGAAGCACAGTGTGAAGAGTATTGGGAGCCAGGGGGCGTGGGTTCGAGCCCTGGCCCTGCTATCATGGCAGTGAGACTGTGCGTGAGTCACGTACCTCCCCTCATCATCACCATCTCTGCCTGCTTGCCGAGGAATTCCCTTCCCACTTCCAGCCTTTCTGCACGCAGCCCCATCGGCACGTGGGAGTGGGAGGCCCTCTCCTGGGGGGTCTGCCTGCCAGTTTTGGTCTGCCTCACGTCTGTGGGGGTCCCAGGAGGGGGAAGGAGGAGGAATCCAGACTGACTGGCGAATGAAGGCTGAGGAACATGGGGAGGGCCTTTCCCCGTGAAGCCTGTGCTCCTGAGACAAGATAAAAATACCTCCTACAATGTGTAACAACCGATCCTTTTGAAATCTCCCAAGAAGTTTCTTCAGATGGAAAAATACCATTAGAAGTATGCAGGCAATCACTGAAGTTTTTGAGAGTGATGGTTGGCACTTTACAATTTCCACTAAAAATTAAACTCTGCATTTCGCAAATATTTAGGTGTCACACACTGGGATAGATGCAGCCGTGAGCAGAACAGACAAAATCCTTGCCCTCCTGGAACTGACAGACCTAGTGGAGAGATGAGCTGTGGGCAGAGTAAACAATATGTGTCATTTGCAAATAGTTGTAAGTGCTGTGGAGAAGGACATGTCTTTTTTTAAATTTTTTAATGGGCTGTGCCACAGGGCTCGCGGGATCTTAGTTTCAGCATGCAGGATTTTTCACTGTGGCTTGCAGACTCTCAGCTGTGGCGTGTGGAATCTTAGTTCCCCGACCAGGGATTGAACCTGTGCCCCCTGCAGGAGAAGCATGGGGTCCTTACCACTAGACTGCCTGGGAATTCCCAAGAAGGACTTAGATATAAATATATATATATATTTTTTCTTTTTTTTGGTGGTGGCCGTTGAGTTTTTATATACAAATATCAAGGGCTAAAAATATTTTTAAAGAATCAAGGATGGAGAATAACGTGAAGCCATTTATTCATGCAGATTTTATTAAATAATTATCAGTTCTGTGTGTTTATGAAGAATGGATCCTTTTAAAATTTATTTAAGAATATAAAACATTTAAATTAGCTCTGGGATTTGCCTTTGAAGTGACATGTTAAAGTATGTAGATGTACTAGTTTTTCTAGTCAGTTCAGTTCATTCGCTCAGTTGTGTCCGACTCTTTGCGACCCCATGGACTGCAGCAGGCCAGGCTTCCCTGTCCATCCCCAACTCCCGGAGTTTAGTCAAAAACTCATGTCCATCAACTTGGCGATGCAATCCAACCATCTCATCCTCTGTCGTCCCCTTCTCCTCTCGCCTTCAATCTTTCCTAGCATCAGGGTCTTTTCAAATGAGTCAGCTCTTTGCATGAGGTGGCCAAAGTATTGGAGTTTCAGCTTCAGCATCAGTCCTTCCAGTGAACACCCAGGACTGATCTCTTTTAGGATGGACTGGTTGGATCTCCTTGCAGTCCAAGGGACTCTCATGAGTCTTCTCCAACACCACAGTTTTTCCAATAGAAGAAGGGAAAATTAAAAGAAAAATAAAATTATTATAAAGACATAAACAATGTAAAGAAAAAAAGAGGCATCGAGGACATATACTTTTTTTAAAGGACGTATACTTTTAAAGGACGTATACTTTTAAAGGACCAGCTGATGAGCATTATTTGATTTTTGCCATGTGCAAAGCTTCTGACAAACGGTCGACTGGCACGTTCACGTCCAAGTCTGTGACTCTGGGCATCGGAGGCCCAGGCGTCTGCTCAGAGCACGTCCGCTTATGATCTGGCGACCTTGGGCGGGAACTTCACTGCCCATTGATGCCTCAGTTTCCTCCTGAGTGACGTGAGGAGACTCGAATGACCTTGACGTTCTCTGCTCTGGCCACGTTCTTCTCATTTTCTGAGTATGTCCTTCTGCCTTCACATTCCGTATCCATCAGACCAAACTCTGAGATGGTAGAGGATGCGACGGTGCGTGGGGAGCTGATTCTCTGGACGCCATGGGATTCCCCGGATGTGCTTTGACCTCTAAACAGGGTGTTCCAGACGCCCAAGGGGCTTCCCAGGAGGCTGAGTGGTGAAGAATCCACCAGGCAATACAGGGGATGCGCGTTCGATCCCTGGGTCCGGAAGATCCCCTGGAGGAGGAAATGGCAACCCACTCCAGTGTTCTTGCCTGGAGAATCCCCATGAACAGAGGAGTCCGGTGGCGGGGACAGTGGCACCTTCTCTGTGCGTGTGACGCTGTTCACCCACCTTCAGCGGGCGTGAGCCTTGCTGGCCGCTCTGTAGACGGAGCTCCTGTCATCTCTGGCCAGGCCGCTCCTGGGCCCAGCGGTTCCAGATGCCCGAAGGCACGTCACCTCTGAGGGGACGTGGAGATGTCGCTTCTGTCGCTGTATTGACTGGTCCATATTAGCACTGGGCGTCATGCACTCCGCCTCCTGAGGCCTAGACACCGCCCTGTGGCCTGGGCATGGAGCCTGGAATCTCGATGGTCTAATTTTGGCTCGGCTGTTACGTGCATACCTCATTTTATTGCGCTTCCAAGATTTCTTTTTTTTAACCAATTGAAGGCTTGTGGCAACCCTGCGACGACCAAGTCTTACGGGGCCATTTTTCCAACGATGTTTGCCCACTTCGTGTCTCTGTCACAGTTGGTAATTCTCGCGGTATTTCAAACTTCTTTGGCATTATTATGTTTGTTACAATGGTCAGTGATCTCTAATCTCACAGTTGTGAAAGGGTTATGGCTTGCTCAAGGCTCCCAGGGATGGTTCGCGTTCTTTTTAGCAATATGTAAGGTTTGTATGTTATTGTTTTAGACAATGCTATTGCCCACTAAATAGACTACTGTATAGCATAAACATAGCTTTATCAGCCCTGGGAAACCAAAAAATTCCTGTGATGCGCTTTATGGTGATACTTGCTTTATCTCAGTGGTCTGTAACTAAGCCCCAAATGCCTGTGAGGTGAGCCTGTGTTAGCTTCTGGGGCGTTGAGGCAGGTCACCGCAGATGCCTGGAAATCAGGCTGCTTACTGACCAGCTGAGGCTATAATAATCATTTCTACTTCACAGGCAGGTTATTGAGACTCCATTCTATAAATGCTTTTGAGAGCTATTTTTAAATGTCTGATTTCCATGCTTAAGTCACTACATACTATCATATTCTTGTTGTTTGTTTTTTTTGTAAACGAGTGTGGATTCCTGCCCCTGCTCCTGGTGGTTTAATGACTGGAGCGCTGATGAACAGGTTGTGGCAAGCGCCTGTTAATGTTACTCTCGGATTACCGTGGGAACAAATGAGGCATTGACCTTTCTTGGCTGTTTCTGAATGAGTCACATACCTCCCATTGTTTGTGTAGGTCAGCAGTGTGACCTGCATAAAGGTAGGGTTGATCTCTTTCAGAATAGAATTTGGGATTTCTCCTTATGATGAAGTTAAGGCAGGGTGATGTATGCCTTGCAAGCAAGCAGAAGGACCTTTTCAGCAAAGCACTTGCTCAACTGGGGAGGGGTTGTTGAACGTCGGTTTGGGGATGTGGTCAAATTCGCAGCTTTCTCACGTGTCTCCTGGCCTGCGGGGGCTCTAGGAAAGCTGTCTTCATCTGTCACTGACGTGTTGCGTGGGTGGGGCCACTCGATAGCTGCATCTCACCTTACCGACTTGGAGTTCCGGATGAGCCCAGTGCTTGCTGGGATCGGGTATTTTCAGATCTTTGCTCTTGTCCTGTGAGATGGACTTCTGGGCTCACTTGACCGACTGCTTAATCAGCTGCTGTCCACGCTGCATAAAGCAGATGGGTTCAGGGACAGTGTTTTGTTAGCTGTGTAATTTTAGGTAACTGACAGAGTATAGCAAGTGAGCAAATACCCCGTGCTTCCCTGGCGGCTCAGACGGTAAAGAATCCGCCTGTAATGTAGGAGACCCGAGTTCGATCCCTGGTCCGGGAAGATCCCCTGGAGGAGGGAATGGAAACCCACTCCAGTGTTCTTGCCTGGAGAATTCCACGGACAGAGGAGCCTGGTGGGCTACAATCCATGGGGTCGCAAAAAATTGGAAGTGATGGAGCGACCAACACGCACACACAGACACCGTGTTCATAGCCAGCACCAAGACTCCCTTGGGCACGCCACACCTCCGACCAAGTTCAGGCTGCAGAGAAAAGATGTGACCGTCACAACTTCACCAGGCAGAGACCATGCCGGGGATCGAGTCGTAGACCGGACGTCTCTTCCAGCCCTTGGTTGTACCCTCCTCTATGTGGTTTCTTTGCCTGGGACAGAGACCGTTCTAGACCTCTAGGATTCGTGGAGGCCTGTCAGGGAACAGAGTGCTTCATGACAAAGTCATGTCTGGTTTGGAAGCTGCTGGGGTACATGTGGGTTAGGTCTAGGAGCTCTGGAAGGATTGGGGGATTGGGAAGTGGTGAGAACTGGTCTTGAGGGCCGTGGTTGCTGTGACAGGGAGGTTAGCCTGGTCACATCCTCAGCTGTCATCTTGTTTCTTGCTGTGGCCGTGCTGGGAGGTTAGCCTGGTGATGTCCTGAGCCGCCATCCTGTTTGTTTCTTGCTGTGGCCGTGCTGGGTCTTCTTTGCTGCACTTGGGCTTTCTCCAGTTGCAGCAAGCGGGGGCCCCTCTCTAGTTGCGGTGCCCGGGCTTCTTGCTGCGGTGGCCTCTCCCATTGCTGAGTATGGGCTCCAGAGCTCAGCTGCCCTGCAGCATGTGGGATCATCCTGGACTAGGGATCAAACCGCTGTCCTCTGCATTGCAAGGCAGGTCCTTAACCACTGGACCATCAGGGCATCCCAAGGTGTCATCTTAAGAGTTTATACCGAGAAGAGGGTCTTGCCAAGCAACGTGAAGCCACTCCTTGGAGATTTCCCCCAGACTTGAGGCTCTGATGGGGATAGAGATGGCAGGGGAAACAAGGGAGACGCATCGGTCAGTTGATGACGGGCCCGGGTCGTCGTGGACGCTCTGACCCCCTCTCACACAGAGCTGTGGCCCTCTGCCCTGCTCTGGCTCTCTCTGGTGCCCTTGGGAAAAGCTCCAGTTTCCATCCACTGGAGCACATTGCAGGGCAATCCATTGGGAATTATCGCCAGGGCAGATCCAGCAGGAATGCTATTGTTTTGTTCTCGCAGCATATCAATAGGTTGGTACAAAACTGCTCACTTCTGTCACACCCACTTCCCATTTCCAAATGTGTCAGCATCAGCACAGGCAATATTTGGACCACCCCGTGGCGTGTTAGGCATCCTGCAAACATATGAGTTGGATTCTTGACACATGGTTTTGGAAGTGGGCTCACATAGCACCTTGGATTTCAGTCTTGCAGGGATTGGCATTCTCTGAATGCATGTGAGTGGATTAGTGATCACGTGATCCTTAGCTTGTATATTCCCTGGCTGAGTGACCCAGTTAGAGGCCTGGCCCAGGGACAGAATGAGCAAGGCGTGCTGGGCACTGTCAGGGAACCTCCCCGCTGGGGCTGGAGGCTCCTGCCATCCTGGCCATGGGCACACGAGAAGGGAGAGAGCCCCTGCTGCTGGCCTGGCCCTGGGTCATCTCCTTTCCGGTTACGCGGGTAAATAGAAAGACGTAAAAACTCCAGTGGGCTCAGTATTAGAGCTGGTTTCATGGTGCGACATATGTCTTTTGGAAGGAGCCATTGTGCATGGTCTTCTGATTTTTTTATCCAATTGTTAACCAAACTTGAAACATTTATGGGTTAATAGGTCCAGGGAGGAATGAATCATTATTGCATCCGTGACCAAGCTGGGCTTCGGAGAGGCTGAGACCCACGGAAAGTTGCCGGCTCGTCACTCACCAGGCTGCAGCAGGCTCCAGCCCCGGTCTCCGTCTGTCCTCTTGTAGCTCACATGGTGAAGTGGCTCCATCTATAAAACGTGTGGTTGCTATGAATTACTGTTGTTGGTAAGGAGAATTGGAAACACTCTGGTTTCTAGATTACCTTTCAGATATTCAAATTCACGCACCAGTAGCATATGGCTAGGACTTATTTTTTCACTCAGATGTCTTCCAATGTGCTTCATTGAATTCCAGATCCACATCAGGTTTGAATTTTGAAAATGCCAACTGTATACTAACTGAATGTGAGAAATGAAGAAAACTTTCATAAATTAAAACAAAAATTGGTGATTTATTTTTCTGTGTTCCAAATAAACGAGCTGTATGAATTTTTTCCCCCCATTTTGGTTTATTTGCATCTTTAAAAAATTTTTTTTTAGTTTTTATTTTTGTATTTGTATCTTGATAATATTGGAAGGAACAATGTTGCCTGTGTATCTTTCACTAGTTTTCTACAAGAGACTTCTACTATAACACACATCAAAGGAAGAGGGACCACGGTGGTCTTGCCCATCGCCTCTGTAGCTCAGGCGCATGGACCTCACTTTGGGTGGAAGGAGAAGCCTTTGCTACCCTCAGATGGCTGTGTCTTCTCGGCCTGTCCAAAATTTTGGTCCAGCAATTACCTGATTCTGATTCCTTCCCATTTCGAAGAGTTTCAATTATAGGTGCCATTTATACTTTTGTTGTTTACCAGGTAGGAGATTCTCAAGCACTTTAATAAAGGAGGGATTTTATCACAGGCTAGTCATAGGGAAAATGAGTCCCATGTATGAGTTTTGCATAACTTTCATCAGCATCAGAGGCACTGTCGCTGGGAAGAACGCTGGCCTGTAAATGAGAAAACCACCTAACGGAGAGAGCTCCGGGATGGGGCCCGGAGAGATGCGTAAGCTTTGCCTTGTCTGCTTGTGGAAACGACCCCCAGCCCCGCTGTCAAACCTATTAAAATGCACCACAGTCCACACGCAGCAGAATTTATATGTTAGACGTCTTCAAATCTCCGTTACTATTCACTGTCAGGTAGGACTTTATATCCTACTAAGAGAAAATGCTGCCTAACCTAATGAGATGCAGTCATTTCAGAGTTCACATGTAGAAAAATGTGCTTTTTTAGAACTGATGAAATATAATTCAGTTATGAGTTGAGTTGAAGTCGGGTTGTTGAGATAACGCTAAATTTTGTTGTGGTGGTGGTTTGGTTGCTCAGTCGGGTCCAACTCTGTTTGACCCCATAGACTGTAGCCCACCAGGCTCCTCTGTCCATGGGATTCTCCAGGCAAGAACGCTGGAGTGGTTTGCCATTTCCTTCTCCAGGGGATCTTCCCCACCTGGGGATTGAACCTCGATCTCCTGCATTGCAGGTGGATTCTTTACCAATTGAGCCACCAGGGAAGCTTTCTTAAAGTTTGTGGGTTTTATTGTAATTTA